CTGAGCTCTGCTAACTATCTCTATGCCTGCTCTAGACATGGCCAAGTGGTGAGGTAATGCATCTGAAGCTTAAAAACTTCAAATAAAGATATATAAGCTAAATAACATTACCTCACAATTGGATTGGGCTAGCGCATGCACACAGTCACCTACCAACTCCTAAAGCTGGCGCTCGCTAAGTGACAGTAACTTGCTCGTATGTACAATTCCTAATTTTTCCTGGATATTTTTCCTGGATATTTTCCCTTCTCCCATATAAAAACATTATATATCCTTTTGAATCACCACTGGACCAAAGACCTGGAGAAGCATCACAAGCTGCACTCTAGGCACTCTCTCTTAAGTTCCCATGGGAATGAGAAAAAAACTCATTATAATGCTTAAACTTACAACATTTCTGGGAAAGTTTCCTTTGGAAAAGAAGAATAAGATGTATCTTTGATGCAAGATAACTTCTGATACTATGCAAACTTTAACAGCGATCATTATCAGGTTTTTCATGCAAGAAAGCATATATTTTTATTAACTGTGTGAGCACTCAGATCAGCCTATGGAACAGCAGTTGTGGCAATCCATTGTAACATTATTTAACCGTAGCGTTGCAAAAGTCATCGGAGTGCACTGTGGGGTGCTAAATCCAATAGAAATGTCAGATTTGCAGTGGTCTGAAACACGACTAATTTTAAACCACACAGTTTTACTGCACAGAGTTAGGTCACAGGGATAGGCTATGAACAAAGTTATCTTAAATCTACCTCCCAGCTCTTGGGCACTGGATTCTTTGCCACTCCAGAAAACATGCTATTCAAATTAAAACCGATTAAAAAATTATCATTAAAACCATCTCCATCCCACTCTCAGCCTGGGGTGGCAGAGGGTTTTGGATGCAATGCTGTCCCATCCAGAACCATGGAAATAGAAGGACGATCCCATAAAACCACCCACCAGGACCACTGGGTACATCTCTGGACTTTATCCCCTGCAGCAGCGCAGTGCTATTTCTGCAGCACTGGTCCTCCCAGCCCTTGCTCCCTGCTCCTGTCCTCGCTTCCATCTCTCCTAGTTTGTCCTCCTGCACTTTGTGACTTCAGAGCAGGTGGGAGGGAAATCCACGTACCTGGAGCCGCTTCTGAAACTTGCTCTGTCCCCCCGCAGCCCCCGCAGCGCCGAGGGAAGCCCCCAGCGGCATGCGGGAGGCCACGAAGAGAGCCAGCAAAGCATCGCAGGCTCCTGGACTGCCTCCCAGCACCTACAATACACTGGCTGAGGAATCCCTCCACGCTGCAAAAGATCTCAGCTGCCACTTTGGGCACTCCCCACCGTGGAGCAATATTCTGGCTTTTGGTTTTAATTTGTAAGGATATAAATGTTCCCACAATAAGCGAGTAAGCGCCTGAGCCAGCTAACAGCATTTTTCCTGCAGCTCTGAATTACGTCCTCCTGGGGGAGTGGCTGATACTGGTTGACCCTGTTTACATAAACATCGCTGCAGAGATGTCTTCACCTTCAGGGTATCTGTCCCCCACCCAGCTTTGGTACATCTCCCCTCCTCTGCCAGCAAGGCAGACCTCGCCTTCCAGCTCCTTTCTCATCCCTCCTATCTCTCAGGCACAATTTACTCACAAAGAAAGCAGAAATACTCATCAACGCTCCGTAATTCAAACAATGACAAAAACGGTCCGGGTCCAAGTACGTGCAACTTTCTTTTATACTCAAAAGAAGAAATAAATGCTGATTTGTTGTGTTTTTTTTTTTTAAAAAAAAAAGTATCAGTAGATTGGAGGATTCCTAAAATGAAAGGTCTACTTAAAATGTATACTCATAAAATATTCCCTGAAATACAGAAAGTATCCATTTTCCCAACTGAAAACTTCAGGAAGGAATAAGGATCTTGTTACAATTGTAGGCAGAGCTGTGCGAACTATTGTTATTATTTCAATTAAACTTTGCTAAAAACTATCTGCAAATGGTTAGCTGGGACATCAGGCATCTCAAAGTTTGCTTTCCGTCTTCATTTCAGGGATCTGAAAATTGAAAATTTTCTTCTTGATGGGAACGACAACATCAAAATCGTTGGTAGGTACATGTTATCTGTGAAGCTTGTTTTCGGCTTTTGATTTTGTGTGGCTTCCAGTGACTGTTCAGCTACTATTGAAACAGCACATTTTATGAGTGAGCTTGTGATTATTCAATGAACATATTCAAGCTTTTAGAATAAATAAAAGTTATGAAGTATAACTTAACGACTTGTTTATTTCAGCTTTAACTAAAACATATTTTTAAGAGAACAAGGAAAACAATTTTGCCTATTGTTTTCCCTTGTGTATTGCTGGAGAAGCAAGAAACAATTACAGCTTTTATGTGTAGAAAGCTGTTCCTAGCAGAAGTGATTTGTAGACAAAGAAATAAATCTTCTGGATTGAAATGCAGGTATGGACACATCAGCTTCTGTCGAGTCATTACGCCAACTAGAAACCTCATCATCTGGCATGTGTTAAAAAAAAAAAAACACAATAAAACCAAAAAACCTGTTTTGGTCACTAACAGAAACCTTGCTAGGGTTGAGAAGCCAGCATTCCAAAAATGAGAGAATTTGCACCAAGCAGTTAACACAGCTCAGAGAAACATTAATTTTATTCTATGGAAACCGCACAGAAAAATCCCTGCAAGGGAAGCTCGCAGTTAGAGACGCTGCAGGTTTAACCCAGCGTTTCCCAAACTTTTAAAAGCTTAACACCTCTGAGAAAAAAGGCACCAACTCTTCAGCCCTGTTTTATAGCCAGCCAGTCCTTTACAATCACACCTTTCTCTTCCCTCCCCCTTGCACACACGCACATACGCAGAGAAAAAGGCTCAAGTTAGCACGTTTTGCCCCACGTTTACAACGGTCTAAAGCACACCCAGCTGAGCAGAGCGCTGTAGCTCATTAAGCCACGCTAGTGCAGCTGTGTAGCTGCGCTCTTGCACTAGCACGCAGTCAACTGAGGCAAACTAAAATAGCTAAGCCAAAATCAACCAAACGAGGTCCATGGCTGGAGTAGATTCACTCTTTACTCCTCTGCTGGTTCATGGAAAGTTTATTCAAACCCGAATCGGCATCCACAGCTGAGATCTCAACAGAGGCTAAACCCAGCTGCTGTTTTCATCTTACTCCTATCTTCAGTCGATTGGTAAAGTTAAACTATTTGGAGAAGACATTAAAACTTCTCACCTTTGTTTTTGTGACTGTCAGATTTTGGACTGAGCAATACTGCAAAGTTTGAGAGTCTCTCCCAGGAGCTGTTACACACCCAGTGCGGAAGCCCAGCTTACGCTGCCCCAGAACTCCTTGCTCATAGGAAATACGGTCCAAAGGTGGATGTCTGGTCCATGTAAGTAGATCTGAAAATATACCTACCAAAACACTCTCAGCACTGAATGATTTAGACAAGACTGATAAAAACAGGTTGGTGCATTCTGCTTTGGGGCATCAGGGAGGAAAGCAGAGATATATCAGAGAAGTGTTGCCAGGAAAAAAAAAAACACCTTATCAGTGTGAAAAATGTACCTCAAAATGTGTATCCATTGCAAAACACTGGAGAAAAAAAACAAATGAGCAATACACATGCTCTTCTGGAGTAACCCTGTGGCAAGGGAAATCAATGAAAGATAGGGCATCTGGACCTAGGAGCCTGTTCTGAAGAGACAGAGAGAGAACTTGTACGTACCAATCCCCTCAGATGAACCCTCCTGTCCTTCTGGCACACATGTTCAGCTGATGTCTGAGTAACTTCTGTCAAAATCAGTGTAGCTCCCAGGAAGCCTTGGGCTGACAAATGAACATTTTCTGTCTAAGGCATAGTTTGCCAAAAGAAGAAACCTGAACAGGAAAACTGAGTCTCAAAGACAGGCAGACAGACACACAGACCAAAGACGTGGCTACAGTAGAGCTCTGAGATCTTCATTTGTACCTTGGCTAAGCCCTTTATATCACGTTATAATAAAAAAGTGGAGCTATATACTTCATAGGTGGCACAAACCTGAATAGAGTCCATTTTCTTTGTTCATTACATCTATAGGACATGTCTCTCATAATAAATAAGAACACAGAAGGTGCCATCAGAAGAGTAATTTTTCTCCTAAATTATCTCAGATTTTTCATCTGCATTTGCAGTTTGCAACTCTAGCAGTCAAGTCTGGGTTTTCTTTACTTTTTTGACAGTTTCTGGACAGGGCTAGGAAAATGATAGTATGTTAAATCCATTTTTGTATCTTTTGGTCTTCACAGATCTGGACAGGACAGAGGCTCTCCACGTCCATCATTTGTCCAAAGGCAGTTCATGTTTATCTATATGTACATGTACCCATTTATCTGCTGCATTTCACCTCTTTTGATAGTGACCATATGTGAGGTCTGAGTGTTCCATGTAGATGTTTTTTAAGCCCATTTCTAGCAGGTATGATTCAGGGCATAGAAGCTGAGTTTGAGTAATATAGACTAAGCCAAATCTTCATCTAGAGTATTAAGATTCCAAAACCCAGTGGCTGGTCAAATGCACTTTTGTCCAGACTCTTCCCATCTATTTACAATTGCAGCCATAATTCCCTGCAGTATCTTAACAAGAGGTAGGGTAAAAATCCAGCTATTAAAGCCAATGATAAGAGCCCATGGATTTCAAACAGCTCACAACGCTTGTAAGAGTAATCAGACTTGTTGGCTTAGAAGTGCCACCTCCCATCCCACCCCACAACTGTATCGATCTAAGGGATCTTGGTGTTCTGCTTCTGTTCAACACATGACACTGTATTTGATCCAAACCCAAGCCACCTCACTTTGGACATCTGCCAGAAGGAACGGGAGGCCTGGATATACAGAGCTGCTCTGAACTGGGATGTCCCATCTGCTCGTCCAGCTGTGACAATACGGAATCTCCTTGAGGAGTTCTCAGCAGTCTTCACTAAACTGTCTATCTACAGAGGACAAAGCAGTTTAGTTTGATCTACACAGTTGCTGGTACCTACATACAGGCATCTGATTCAGATGTTTAAAGTAGAAGCTTAGCATTATTATATGCTCAAAAGAGAAAATAAATACATACGGCACATTATACCTCTCAAGACCTGCTTCTGGCAGACATACTGTATGTTAGAGTTTTGACCTAACTGTGATTCTTATACCTCAGCTTCCTCTAAATTTACAGGATATCCACAGCACACAAAGTTCAGTATGAAGGGACAAATTGTACCAAATTACTTCAGTATAAGTCTGGATTTCAAAAGTGCTAGTCTGAATTTATGTAGACATAACACAGACTAATCAGGTCTAGGGGATGCTGTCAGCACTTCAATAGGATTATACTTATTTCACATTTCAGATGACTGAGAGAAGGCAAAACAGTAACCTTAGAACCATTTACTGAGCTCACTTTGTTAATAAACATCACATAACAGGTCAAGGGCTATGTAAAACTTATACATGCCCCTTGGCGTTTAACATAGACATATTCTACTTCTTAGGCATAAAACATATTCACGAACACCATCATAGTGGACAAGGGAATCCTGATGGACTAAAATATTAACTAGAAAGTTACTTCTATTGTCACAAAGTAACCGATTACAGATCAACTGGACTCAGGACTCAAAAGATTTCAGTGTAGTGGAGAGAGACTGACTTTATGCAGCAGGACTGACAAGGATTCATTACAACGGAAATCAGAAAGCCTTGCTCAGTGAGAAGCACATTCAGAAAACCAGCCAGGTTCAGCTGCAATACAGCTGAGGCTCCTGTGGGGCAACAGTGAACAGCAGTGCCTTTTCTGCCTAATCATGACTTTTGCGCATAAGATTTTAAAGATTCTTTGGAGGATTGGAGAGTGATAAGCAGTGATTAGCTTTCATACACCAGCTGAATTGAGGAAACAGTGGCTGTATTCAAACCAATCCAGATAGTTCAGTTGGATAGAGGAGAAATAGTCTGTTATAGTTAATGAACTTTCAAGTTTAATGTACCATCAGATTCCATCTACAATTAACTACTAAGTGTGCTACTGTTAGCCAGCTACAACTTGTACATAAGACTTTAAAAGAGATTTTAGGATGGGAGCTCCATCCTTTCCCTGAATTTCCCTACCTTGGGGATTTCACCATCCAGTAGACTGATGAAAAGAACTATTGCCAGTTTAAAGCACCAATCATGTATATCATCACCAGTAATTTAAAGTGCATGGTAGTTTTTTGCCGTGTTGAAAAGCAAAATGTATTTAATGTTGCAATGATATTAGAAATCCATTTGCACTGCATGTTACTTCCACTCATCAGAGAATACTCAGGGACCCTTCTCTTGCTTCAACTCCAGCTACATTTAATCCACATGCTATTATGTATTGTAGAACAACAATCCTTGCTACTTCAGTCAACTCAATGTCATTTCATTGCAGCATGTTTCCTTTGTCTCTCTGGGTTTTTTTTACCTAAAAGATTCATCAGGAAAGTTTTAGAAAGCATTATATTCAAGGACTAGATTTATCAGAAGGTTTGGTAAAGTGAGAAGACATTGATCTCACCTAAATTTAGCCATTTAACAACCGGCCATCTGCGTTATACCAAGCAATTAGTGTCCTGTTATTGTCAGTGCAGGGAGATAGCTCATCTTCTGAGACTCTTAACTGTAGCCTAAAATAGCTGTATAACATAGCTGTGATGAATCTCTCTTGGAGAGGCCTGTCTCTTTCCATTGGTAACTCTGATACCTTGGTTTTAGATTATTAAAGTGAGACAAGATAAGTCCTGGTCAAGAGTAACAAAAAGCATATATCCATAGGTCACTAGTTCGAACGCGATCCAGTGCAACATTTAGAAAATAGTTCCACCATCTTCTCATGGTTTCTCAATGGTACCATCATCTTCTCATGGTTTTTCAACTGTTTGAAAACATTGAAAAAAGATTGTAGTTGTGCATACCACAAACAGATCTGTTTCACAGATACCGTTGCCATCATCCACACAAATGTACCAGCCAGATCAACTAAATTAGAATTGCCTGAATTTCTAAAATGACTGTCTTGACTGAGTTCAGTAGAGAAATGGCAAAGGACGGCGAAGAGAAGTGCTGTTGTGGTGAGGCAGCTCAGCGGGAGCAAGGAAGTACCATGGAGAGTGTTCAAGGAAACCTCCCTGTTCGCAATCTCGGGACAGCTAAACGGGTTTTCTGAACATTGGTACGTCTCCAAACTGAATGGCACACCTTCACAAAGTCTGCTGATCACTGCTAGCAGGCTGTTTGTCTTTCGCAAGAGTTAAAGTTTTTAGTCTTTAGCCAACAGCAAGCTGTTACCAAACGAATGCCTTCTAGGCGTTAAGTCACACCTAATTTAGCAATCCGAGCAAAGCAAGAAGAACTGAGTTACCATTTGGAACAGGATCTATCGCATCAGTCCCAGCTCTGTGTTGTCACTCAGCCTCCAAACCAAAATGCTTTATTCTGATGGGCTGGGTACACTACACTGACACTCCAATGAGCTTATTTCATAAACAGCAGGTTTCCACTTTTGACACTGCAGGTTTTCCAGTCACTCACTCTACAGTCTATTTTATACACACTTCCCACAACATTCTTTTCTAGATAAAATGGCATTTACACAAAGAAAAAAGGTACAAGATGTGTATTCAGTACAAATTGCTGCTTGGAGGTAATTTGTAACCTTGTTCTTGATACTGAAGGCAAATCTCTGAAACCTGACTCGTAGCTTTGTCGGATTTAAAAAAAAAAAAAAATTATTAGCATTATATGGAGCTCTGATGTTTGTCTTTTTCTTTGACAGAGGTGTAAGCACGTTTGCTATGCTAACCGGCACATTACCCTTCACAGTGGAACCTTTAAATATCAAGCAACTACATCAAAAGATGTTAATTGGAGAAATCAACCCTATTCCATCAGATATCTCGCCTGGTAAAGCACTCCAATTTTTATAAAGAATATTGAGGTATAAAAGGTCTAACCCATGTAATAAAGTCAATTTAGCAATAACACAATCTTCTGGAAAACGAGGTACTTTTTCCAGTTGCTTTGTTTTCATTTAGCAATAACTTTTGTGTGCCTTAGGCAAGGTCTCTTTATCTCAGGCTAGTAGGAAAATAACATTGTTGTTTCTTCAAAAAACTATTATTCTTGGTTCTTATTTACAGGAGGAGTAGAATGTACATTGCTTTTACATAAGTGAAGCAGCTATGCAGTAAATGTGAACACTGTCATGTTTATTATGTCCCATGCTGTGTGTCATAGCCAGGGATTCCTTCTTGTTTTTCCCAAAAATCAGTTATCAAAACCTTAGATAATTTTTCCTGAAGAGCTTATCTTTTGGCTACAGACAGAACCCACAACGCTGAGATAATTAAAGAAACAGGAGGGCTATTTTTGGGAAGAGTCTGCTCATATTTTCATGAGAAAGAACTGAAATACAACATTTTTCACTGAATTTTACTGGCCATCTTTAACGAGGTACAGTCCATGGCATCTTTTAGGACAACTGGGTGTTGTGGTTTAACCCAGCTGGTAACTAAACACCACATAACCACTTGCTCACCCTTCTCCACTCCCAGGGAATAGGGAAGAGAATTAAAAGGGAAAAGGGAAGGAGACTCGTAGATTGAGATAAAAACAATTTAATCATAATAATTAAATTAAATTTAAAGTAATAATGATAAAAATATAATAATAATAATATATTATAATACGGATAATTATAATAATAGATAGAAACAAGTGATGCACAATGTAATTGCTCACCAGCTGGTGACCAACGCCTATCACATCCTGACAAACAATCCTGAAACAGGTAAGTACTGACATCACAATCCAGGACAACTAAGAGGCCAGGGGAAAAAAAAAGTGAGAGAGAGAGAACTCCAAGAGACCGAGAGTGTCTCAGAGATCCCTCAGAAGAAAATTCCTGGAAGAGCAAGGGAGCTTCTTCCCAGTCAACCCTCACCTATATACTAGGCATGACTTTGTATGATATGGAATAGCTCATTGGCCAATTTAGCCCTCAATCCTAAATCTAAATTCAAACCATAAGGGGAGTTGTGGACCCTTTGTCCTGGCTACACTCTCACCCCAGCCTGTTGTGCTCCTGCACACTGGCAAAAACACTGGAAAAGTCCTTGACGTCTCAGTTATCAACTATAAACATCAGTGTGCTATCAACACTTTTCTCATAACAAATTCCATACTAAATCCAAACCACAGAGCTCTTGTAGCTGCTAAAAAGAAAAACATCTCTGTCCCAGTCAAAACCAGGACACTGGGAAAGATAGTTCTCAAAAGTTCTAGCCTGAATTACAGTCCATGGCTCTAAAACCCAGAAGTCATGTGGGTGTATATACACTCTGGGTTAGCTGTCCAAAATCTGCTGCCTCAAAGCTTGAAATTCTGCTGCTTTGCAATGATTCCTATACATCTCTGGCTTTAGACCCTGTTTTCTCTCCACCTGGACTAGCATCTTCTCTGCTGACCGTCACGGGCTTGGGCCCCTTCTCACAGCTGTGGTGCAGCTTCACTGACCACGTCTGAAAGCAGAGCAGAATGAGACATGTTTTGCCCAGCTATGTACCAGCATGAGTCCAGATCTCCCCATCGTTTTGAGCAGCTTTGCTCTGACATTAGGCAAGAAGGACCCTAGGAAGCAAGATTAGCTTCAGTAGCTGCCTGCAGCCAAGCACTAGGAAGCAGCAGACAGTTCCAGACTAAGCTAGCTGGATCTAGTCCGGAGTTACAGTATTAAGATAGTGTGATGATTCAATTCCTTTTTCTTCCCTAGCAAATGGTATGAGGATATCCACCATAGCCAGCCAGAATGTTTGTACATTAGTCTCTCATTTAACCTTCTTTGGAGATTGGTTACCAGATAGCAGCTCCACTTTTCTACAAGCCCTCTGTAGCTGCAATTATTATATTTCTAATTTTTCTTATTTATGCTATTGTTATAGCTTCTACTAATAAATGCATTATCTCTGCTTTTCTATGAAGCCCACACAGTTAGTGGAAGATTGAGGATAACTCTATTGTTCCCTTGCCCATTGGGAATTTAGTGAGAGACCAGTAGTAAACAAGCTTTGCATACTTTAGATCAAAGTTCTTCTGAAGGAGATTACAAGTGAAAGGAGCAGTGTGTTCCCAGTTTAATGCTCACTTGCCATCTTGCTAATTTCAAAACATCCCCAAGGAATATGGAAGAATTCGGTAGAGTTTTCCCAAGAAGAAAAAAAAAAAAAGAGAGGGACTTTATGCAGTGTTGGAGCTGAGTGACAGACATATGGGAATGTTTGAGGTTTCTCTGTCCCAGCTCCAGGAAGCCAAAGCACAATACATCATCTGAGCACCATCTCCCTCCTTCAATACAGAGAGTTTTATCAATGAGATTAGCATCTTTGTGCAAGGAATGTAACTCCTGGGTAGTCAGCTGGCACAGAAATGCCCCTTCTCAGAGCCTTGATCAAACGCTGAGCGAGCACAACGCTGAGATTGCTATCGATGCCACAGGCTGCATTCACTGGGGCAAATCAAGCAACTTAGGAAGCGAGGTCCAGTGCCGTATCCATAGCAGTATCTATAGGTCCATAGCATGCCTTCCCATAGCACAGTTTGGCCCATGCTGCCCACCCTGCTCAGGCGTCCTTCGGGGAACAGGGGCACCACATGGGACCACAGCAGTCTCAGAGAAAGCCAGAGCTGGTTTATTTACCAGTCCAGAAACAGTCCTAGATACTGGGTTTTAGCTGAGGTTCTTACAGTGTAGAGAAGTGGGGAAAGTGCCACATTTCTGAAAAAGGAAAATTTTGTGCTACCTGAATAATCGGATATTACTAGTAAACAAGTCGTTTCATCTAAACACTGCCCAGGAGCTGTACACTTCGTGCTGTCCCTACTTGAGCCTGACCCTGCTAAGAGGCCTGGAGTCAAAGAAGCAATAAAAGACAAATGGTTGAACAAAGGCTTCACCAGGAAAATACTGAATGCTGCTGCCTGTGAGAACAGGTAACAAATTTCACATCTCTCTTCTACCTTGAGATTTCAGGATTTGTGATTTGGGGTGGGGAGTGTGGGTATTTTTAGGAATTTTTTTGGTTTGTTTGCTTTGGAAGAGTTTTGTTACCTGCTCCGGGCTGTTCCAAAATGACCGATATTTTTTTCTGAAAACATGGATAAATTTTATATAAGAGGAAACATCCTTACAGTACTGCTTATATCCTTGTATCAATTATTTTGTTCTCAACATGCCTCACTAGTTCCACGAATTTCTAGACTGTACTTCTAATCCTTTCCTGCAAAACTAGGCCCCCCTGAATGACATTTTCATATTACACTGAAGTTCTTGTTATTCTAACACTTTTATTCTCATTTGTCTTTGTAACTGGCCTTACCTAGTCTACGTTTTTTCTTAGCAAGCCAATTTACAGTTTAACATTGTTATAAAAGTTTGAAATAGATATGTGCAATTCAATGCTTCGCATAAACATTGCCAACTTTAGAGATCTTCCTACTGGGAGGCTGCAAAGTATACTTTGCATGTCTTTAAATACCCAATTCCAGCAATGGACCTTTTAAATCTTCCTCACAGCTGAAATTAGCTTGATAGTAGCTAGTCATGGTTCAAATATTTTGTGCCCAGATCCTAAGTCAATAGTTTACACTAACCGAAAAAGACAGTAATTTGGCCTGTGTAATCTGCACCATCTGCAATGGTGTCTACAGGACACACGGCAGGTTTTCCTACCACAATCCAAGCGATTCACCACCAGTCACAGCCAGGGCTATTAGAAATCTATGTTCAATTTGTTCATTTCTCTGAGAATTGCCCACTGTTCCTGCCGTTGCCCTCCTTCCGTCCTCTCAGATTTGTCTGTGCCCATTCATACTGAAGTTTGACAAGTTTGAAAAAATGTCTTAGGAGCCTAAGAATCCAACAATGTCATATTTTTAAATGCCTTTACTAGACTTTACTACTCACAGAAGCCTGTGAGTAAAATAACTATCATTGTAACATAACCAGTTTTATTTTACAATCTGATTTATATGAAAATAAAAATTCCCCTGTACTTTCCTTAGGTCTTTTTTTGTCCTTTGAGATTTTCCTGCCTTTGGGGCTATTCCTATCTTTACACACATGCACACACTATCTCTGTTAATCCTTCTGAGACTACTGTACTGAGAAACAAAATATAGACACTTGATTAAAATGAGAAAATGCTGTTTTCCATCTTTTAATTTTTCAAGCTTAATCCTGATGGATGTCCTGTCAGAGTAATCAATTATATCAACAATAGGACATTTAATAATGCAGTAACAATCAAGTTAGCGTAGCCAGACAGAGGATTTTTGCACAACTGTGTATCATGATTTGTCTTTACAATCAACTTAGCCTACTCTAGCTACATCACAAGAAGTGTATTGCCCACTTACTGTAAATCCTGACATCATACCTAGGTGCATCATTTGCATTTAAATACTTCTTCCCGATATTTCAGACTTTGCCCCAGTGAATTGAATCCTGTTGTTTTAAACTACATGACAGAAATGATGGAGTTCAGTCTTTCAGATGTTATCGACATTTTAATAAATAACAGACCCTCTTCTGCCATGGCTTCTTATTGCTTATTGCTGAAGAAACTGCTCAGGTACCAGAAAGACCACAAAAAAGCCCAGGTAAGATATTGTGACCATGACAGGCATCACGTGCTCCGTGGATTCTTGTGTGGAACATTGTGACAGCTACATAGCACATGTGAAAAAGGTGATTGTCCATAGAACGGAGACAAAACCTGCCAAAAATAGTAATAAAATTGCAGATCCGGGTGCAGTCTCAGGAAACCTATATTCTGGCATTCTCAGAGGGGATTAAGAGATTTTTTTCCCAGAGATAAATATACTTTTTTTTTAAAGACTAATGAATCTTAAAAATGGGCTGCTGGTTGTAATGGGTTTGAGAATTATTTTGCTTTACATAAAAGATTACTTTTCCACTGGGAAAAGGAGCATTAGCATCTCAGTGATTTTGCCATCCCCTCCCTTTCTGACTGGTCCATGAGGGCTTGATCCAAAGTCTGGGGAGGTGAGTGGGAAGCTGTGAAAGTTGTAAAATCTTTTCCCAGCATCTTTTTTGTATGTTTAGCACTGTATCTTATGCTCACACTCCAGCTCTGACTCACTCTGAGACACGGAGTGAGTTCAGAGGGTACGAAAATGTGAAAAATAAATTCAGAAAATTATGGTAATCACTGGTAAGGCCACAATTAGTTAAAAAGGCTGTAAGCTTTTCTTTTACAACCGTCTCCACTAAGGGGTTCACAACTCAGTCATAAAAATTTTGCTTCAGGCAGAAACTAGGCAGACAGGAAGCCAGATTCCAGCTTCTAACACACAAGTGCAATGGGAAAAGTTTCAGCTACAAAACAACACACATCAGCGATTAGCCTCCCATTCAAAACCTTCACCCTGGAGAAGCTGTATTTTGAGAAGATCCAGTTGACTCCTCTAGAAATTATTCAGATGAGCTTGAGCAGATCCAGATCTCCATCCCAGCGCACAGCCCCAACGGCCGCAACAGCCTGTGCAGTGTTTGCAGGCAGAGCCGTAACTCAAAAATATGAGTTGGGGAGCGTGTGTGTGTGTGCACGCTTAGGGGGAGGAGGTTTTCCTTCACACATGTGATTTTTTTCATATTATAATTTTAAATTGGATCTGCTAAATCGTAAGTCACTCAAAAAAAGCCATATTGTGAAGCTTATTGACCAGCTTTCTGGGATCTCTGGATATCAAGCTGATTTACAGCCCCTAGAGATCTAGCCTTCCAGGCAAGTGGTAGCGTTTCACGTCCTCTATGACCTCTTTCAGCATCCTACCCGGTGGAGGAGGGAAGCAATCGTGTGCATAAAGTAAGTTACAAGCTGATTAAGGGGCTGTGTTGCTTCCTGCTGCTCCTGGCATCCAAAATGCCGTCTCAGGACAGAGGGTCAAGCTGAATTCAAGCACAGACCCCAAAAATGGCTCTGACTGTAAGGTAATAACACTACAAATTATTGTTTTGAAGTCCTACTATATATATATTTCCCAGGCAGGCTGGAGGAGTTTTTTTTAGAGCAAGGAGGAAAAGAGGGGAAGTTTTACAAAGGAATGACTGACATTTTCTTTCTCTGTGTTGACATTTTTCCAAACTCCTACTGACCCAAAATAACCTAGCCAGCTACCAGCTCAAAACAGTGGTGACTTTCACAGAATCACAGACTCACAGACTGGCTGAGGTTGGCAGGGATCTCTGGAGGTCATCTGGTCCAACCCCCTTGCTCAAGCAGTGCCACCTACAGCTGATTGCCCAGGACCATGCCCAGATGGCTTTTGAGCATCTTCAAGCATAGACACTCCACAGCCTCCCTGGGCAACCTGTGCCAGTGCTTGGTCACCCTCACAGTGAAAAAGTGTTTCCTGATGTTCAGAGGGAACCTCCTGTGTTTCAGTTTGTGCCTATTGCCTCTGGTCCTGTCAATGGGCACCGCTGAAGAGAGTGTGGCTCCATCCTCTTTGCACTCTCTCTTCAGATATTTGTATATATTGATGAGATCCCCCTGAGTTGAGTCTTCTCCAGGCTGAACAGTCCCAGCTCTCTCAGCCTTTTCTCATGGGAGAGATGCTCCAGTCCCTTAATCATCTTTGTGGCCTTTCATGGGACTATTCTCCACTATGTCCATGTCTTTCTCGTACTGAGGACACAGCACTCCAGGAGCTGCCTTACCAGTGCCGAGTGGAGGAGAAGCATCACCTTCCTTGACCGTAATGCAGCCCAGGACACTATTCACCTTCTTTGCAGCAAGGGCACATTGCTGGCTCATGGTCAACTTGGTGCCCACCAGGATATCCAGGTGCTTTTCTGCTAAGCTACTTTCCCACTGGGTGGCCCTCTGCATATGCTGGTGCTGGAGGTTGTTCCTCCCCAGGCGCAAGACTTCACACTTACCCTTCCCAAACTAAATCTAGAGGAGACGTGCCTAGCATGTGAGCTGGGTATGCACTGTGGGGTCCGTTCAGTTGCGTCATATCACAACTCCCCATTTCTACACTTTCCCTGTGTCCCTTTCCACGTAGCTCCCAGGTGTGCAGTTCTTTCTTCTGCACCACAAAACAATACTGATCTGCAAATCTTCACATGTTCAATGCGGGGACTTCTTAAATTTGCATTTAGACAGACAGAATCTCCCTTTGACAGTTTTGCAAAGAAATGACTCGCTTTCAGGAGGACATCTTCACTGAGAACCTGAAATACAGGCACAAGCTAAATGCCTAAAACTAGTCGAGTGGATTCTATGATAAATAATACCTTCTGATATCTGTTACTAAGACATAGAAATTAAGAAATTAAAAAAAACCACAATTCATACCATCTTTTCATGTCATTAAAAGTTTGTTTCCTCTTGTTGGTTAGCACAAGTGTTGTGGTTTTTGGACTGAGGGTCGAGACAAGAACCGAGAGGGAGCACCCACCAACCACGGTCCCGGGCAAAACATGACTCAGGCTTTCTTCTTAAAACAAAACAATTTATTAACAGTTACTTAACAAGAGACACAAGGGAACGAAACCAGTTACTTGAGAGGAGAAAGAGAAAACAAGGCCAGATCTTAAAACAACACCTCCCCACCCCCTATTTCCTTTCGTTCCTGGCTCTACCTCCCCCCCAGCGGCGCAGGGGGACAGGGAATGGGGAGTGCAGGTCAGTTCATCCATGCTGTTAACTGCCACTCCTTCTTAAAGGAAGAGGAGGCTTTACACCATTTTTCCCTTGCTTCAGTGGATCCCCTCGTCACGAGGAAAATGTCCCCAAACTTTTCCAGCGTAAGTCCTGCCCGCAGGATTGCAATCCTTCCCCATGGATCGCACCAGTTCAGGCTTTACCAGTCTCGGCCTCTTAGGGAGCTGCTGCCACTCGCGTCGGCGTGGGTCGGCCCCCGGTCCCCCGATGCCTCCACC